ATAGCTGGGCCCATTGCGGCTGAATACGGATACAATATTAAATAAATCTAGAACGGTTCCACACTAGGTACTATAATTCCATAAAGTCCGTCGGATATCATGCGGACAAGATCTAACCTTATTATTATTATTTTGTTTTTTTTGGAAATGCAAAATATAATCGTATGTTATGAAAAAAATCAGTTTTTATAATTCTAATATTATTGAAGACCTTTTGTTATAGACAAAATAATAGTTTTATAATTTATTTTCGCTCAACAACCGCTATATGCTCATACAATGTGATCATAATGCCGTCACTGATCACTTTAGTCTATGATATATCAATATTTCTATAAGTTTACCTCGTTAATTCGAAACAACAACAATATTACAGCGTATATAAACATATAAGCCATAAGGTATTGTTTAAAATTTAAATGATTCCTCATCTTATCGGATAAATGATTTTGAATTTAAATTCAGAGTATATCGAAAGAAGACAATATTTAAAAAAGATGTCCTAGAATAATAGAGTCGGGTGCAGCCACTATTATGAGTAATTTAATGTATACTTGTAAGCAACGATAAACCATTGGTAACAGAAAAACGATCCTGAGCAGAGTTTAGTTGATAATGATGTTTTGTAACAATATAAATGTCATATTATGGTAAAATATTAAATTGAGATTATAGTTTTCTTTAATAATATTTGTTTAATATTGTACCGATTTTCCTGTTTTTCTTCCGTTTTTTTTTCAGATCATTTCAGATTTTTTTAGATCATAATTCATATGTAATATATTAAAGTACAGACAACATATCTTGCCAAATATTTTACAATATTTTTTCCCCAAAAGTAATGGTACTGTAAAATAGAAACCTTTTGCGCATCAATTCGTTGCACAGAACGTTTTAGGGAAGGCCTCTTTATATTACTCTATGATTCATACAGTGTTGGGGGGGGGAGTGGTAATAGGATAGAAATGTTCAATTAGTATGACTATTGCACTTATTATTAGTTATGGCCGTTATGGGTCTCGTTATTGTCAACAATATAAAATTTCGTTTTGATTTCTGGTTTTTACTGATGGGTTTAATAAATTGCCCAGTATCAGTAATTTTAACGAATATAAGTTAAACGTTAATAAGTCGCAAGCGAATTACTCAAATTAATTACTGTAAACGTTAAAATGATTTTTTTCAATATGTTTATAGATTTCCATTATCAAAAATAGGTGTTGCTAATTGAAAATCAAAAGTTGATATTGTTTTATCAAATAAGGAAGGCAGTCAATATTTTCAAAATTTTGTTCTTATCTTTCATTTGAGTTTGATAATAGGTTAATTCACTGTTGTATTAAAACTAGCGGCATAAAGTTGTCCATGTTGAACGTAAATTTGCTATGTTGTACGTTGTAAAACGGAAACAGCAAATGTTGATATAATGGCCTTTTAAATGTAAAGATTTAAATATTATCCACTTGGTTATCCATAATTTCAAAATTTGTACAGCGTCAAGATAGGATTTACATGAGGTAGAGTTTTTTGACATGTGTGAAACTCGTGGAGGGGGGAATACACGGGGATAAAACATAGGGAATGCTTTCATATTAATACTAACCATGTACCAAGAATTTTTAACTAATTTGCAACTATTTACAACTTAATTCTCTCAACACAATTCAACACACATTTTTTTTTATAGGGGGCCGATTTCACGCAGTAATTTTGCTGTGTGTCCCTTCGCTTTACACTTACTACATTAAAGCGGCCTTTGGAACTGTTTAATATTTCTTGAGATGTGCCCTGTCCATTGGCAGTTGTAATACCGTAGTGCAACGTTAAATTGACACGTGATTCCTTTGTTTGACTAAATATACGATTTTACAAGCCACTGGCAAATTATTTAGATAATTCGGATTAAATAAAGGAATATAAAATATATAGGTATGTAATAATATATCTGACCAATATAGTTTCGCGTTTTAAAATATTTAAACCAAATGGTAATTTCCATATATTGTAATATAATATAAGTAGCCGCATTTGGAACGATTCTTATGAATTTTTTCTAAATAGCCTGTAAGATTAACGACCACAGGTAAAAAAAAAAAAATAATCTAGTATAATCCTGGCCGTTTATAAAATGTATTAAAAAAAAAAAAAAAAAAAAACAAACTCCGTAGATCAAAAATTGCACAAAGATTAGTCGGTTTTTGGAAATACAAAAATAAATGGACAAATTAATTTATCTCGTAGGTTCTCCTCTGACAAACATAAAATAATAAAAGCCGTATTGAATTTATAATTTTAGACCAAAGACGATAAATTATCCTAAAGTACGTTCACACAAATATTAAATGGGAATTACTTATCGAAAAAAAGCTCTACTAAAATGTCAATAGAAAATATACATTAGTCTTCGAAGCAATTCCTTCTTCAAACACTTAGCTAAATGTTTTTCTATTGTAAATTTCCGAGGGTAAACGTTTAAAGGTTTATTTTCCGTAATAATATGTTTAGTGAATCTAATGGATTCGCGATTCATTCACGTTTTCCGGACAAATTAAAATTGTTTACTATAAAGTAAAATGTGTGTATAATAAATATAAGATAAATTAAATGTTCTTTTACGCGAAAAAAAAAACTATTTAATTATGCGAGGAAAAAAGTATAATGTAGGTATTGAACGTAGATAAATTTAAATAACTATAAAGTCATAAATCGGAAGTTGGCAGTTATATTTATCAAGATGAACAACTGTATCGATTAACCAATGAAATATGTGTCAACACTGTGAATTAGTTGATAAATAGTTATGTATGAAAAATGGCTGAAATCGTTTCTTTCAATTTTAATCTAGGTTTCTACATTATACGATCACATAATTCACGATATAAAAAAATTAAACAAATATTTCATGGATCAGTCAATAAAATCTGCTCTCTTAGTAAAAAAAGGCTGTCAAATATCATCATATCTCTCACAGGAATCTATCATCATAAATTCGGCCGTTTATATACAGTTGTTTTATAGTTATTGATTATCTAACTGGTATTGAATTAATATTGTATTTAAAGTTCAAACTATAATTTTGTCATGATACGTGAACAATCAATATCAAAGCCATATCAATTGTAATTATTTTTAAAACCCGTTTTATATACATTGTTATTATAAGTGTTATCGGGCCACTCTTTAAACGCATATTTATAGAGTTGCCGGCTGCGGTGGAATGCGATATCTATATATTATACTAATCCGTTCAGTTCATTATTCTCCTATATAGGAATATACGAGTGGTAAATCTCCATTTCAAAATATTTCAATTCCGCGGCCCCATTAATCTGTGTCACATTTATAAAACAGGTATTATATACGACCTCCTCACAATCGATTTGGGGCTTTTTGGAAATCCTTGTATGGCGTACTATTTGAGACCATTAGCGCGCGCATTTTAGGTGTTCTAACTACTTTTATACCGGAACGCTGGCCCGATATACGTTTATTATATCACTCGTGATATAATAATATTTTAACGATTATTATTGTGATAATATTGTACGGAAATCATAATAATATGATTACGATGGTATAATTACTATTGCCGGCCGGACACACCATAAACTATTTGGCCGATTTGTATAGCGAAAATATTATAAACCGTACTTTGTTGTCATGCATCAAGTTGAAAATATTCACGTACAACAAAAATCTCCTAAACTTTTTGTTTTTCCTGTTGAATCCCAGAATATTATTTTGATCTCCGAGTAGTTGGTTTTTTTTTATTTTTTAATGCAACGAAGAAATTATGAGTTTTATTAAGATTATTTTTTTTCTGAAGAATACATTTTTCGGTTTGTAAAAATGCTCCATTTTTCTCATGTCATACCTCAAAAGATCCGGATTTTTCGCTTAACATGATTTTATTTGAAATATTCACCGATATTTTCAACAGTTCACCCTATCTAAGGGTTTTTCGGTTCAGAATAAACGAAAAACCAATGTATTTCAAATGGAAAACTTTACCTCGTTACAGGAGGACGAAAAAATTATACTAGGAAGTTCAAATAGAGCTCAACATTTTTTTTCGAACACAGTTAAGGGGCGCCAAACAAAATTTCATCATCACTCAAATAAGAACCTGCACCCTAATATATACAATATACATATGTATACAAACTAAATTATACCCTCGTATATTCTACCTTCCTGGCTATAACCTATAGGGGCTGTAACTACAACCCAGTGGCCTGCCTGCGAGCTGCTGGCAGTATCAACTTTTTGTCTCCCACTAATACGCACGCCGTAAAATCTGTTTAATAATAATATGATGGTAAGCGCTTTTGCCGTCACCTCGGCCTTTTTAATACGAAATCAAATGCGCTAAAATTAGTATATCTCTTGTGTACATACACACACATACATACATACATACTTACATACATACATACAAACCAGAGTATACGGAGCGAGTACAATACGCGGGGTTTGGATTACGCGTTCACGTGACGGGAAATATAATTAATTTACCGAAACGACGGCGGCCAACTAAAACTTCTCTCTTACACAAACACATTCGTATAAGTATATACATATACGTATATATTTATATATATATATATATATATATACATATATAGGTATGTTTCGAACAATTTATATATCCGGCAGCGTAAGTATAATAATAATAATAATAATATAATAATATATTATCGTCTGTCCCGGTTGGTGGCCCGTTGAATCAACTCTCACGCGTGTGACAATATTATGTAGGTATACAAGTATATGAATATTCCGTACACGAAATCTTCACTACGACGATAAGATACAGACGGAATACAGATAAGTAGGGCTGCGAACTTAACGCACTATTAAACTACCCCCCCCTCCCAAAAAAAAAAACACCTTAAAAAAAATACATTAAACCTTAAAAACTTATAAACAATAATGCACTATTAAAATGCACTACGATTGTTTTATTTTTAATAATTTTTGACAATAAATTCCAAACAATTTCTAAAAACTGCAGAACTGAATGACTTCAATTTAAGCTTCTGTTAATCTGGACAAATTCGTACTAAACGGCATCGGAAGTCGTCGATATCGATTCTATTGTTCCAACATATTATTAAACAGAGAAACTAGTGATTTTATATATATTTACCGCATTACTATAGACACAGTCACGACGCGTTATCTAGGTTTCGAAATTACTATTGTCCGATAATATAACACGAGTATCAATTTAATAGACTGTTATATAAAGCCTGGTTCACACGATAAAATATTTTGTCAAATATTTGGTGAACGGCAAACCTTGAAAATTTGTTTGAAAAATGATTCATACGATTAAATATTTGATCAAATTATCCATAACTAAAACTCAGTAATGATTAGTAAAATATAGCTCGCGCAAATTTAATTTGTATAATAATTATTATCATAGGTAGTACCATTGATTACCTATTGATTTATAATCAGTGGCAGTAGGTACTAATGACGATGCAGATAAAATTTCATCAAACATCGTGGTACTAAGTCATTACTTATTATTCATTAGGATATTCTTAAATTAGAGCTACAACATGAGTTACGACCGTAGAAAATTAATAAAATTACATACATTTTAGAAACTAAGGAAATTGTTCAAAAATAAAAGGTAAGATTAGGAAATAAGTAAATAAATAGGTAATAATATAATTACCTACTTTAACTTTCTATGTCGTTGCCAGTAGGTATGCATTAGTATTTCCTTAAGTATTATATTCGGAGCGAAGCGAGAGATCCATTGGTTTTACTATGATGTTTGTCTTGTGTGTATTACAATTAAAGACATTTCCTCGTAATTTTGAATACGTGTTCATCGCCCACATAATATTATGTACCTAATATAATAATTTATTCTCCCAAGAACCCAAAAACTCAAATTCTTAAATGTAAATAATTTGTGCCCACCAGTTTTTAATGGTACCTACCTATCGAACTGTTCAGTGTTCAGTCTAATAATACATACTTTTGCTCTCTTCGGTGTTATTGAAAATCTATTTGATTTTGCCTATAATGTTATATAACTAATAAAGTGTAAAAATACAATATAATAATTACAATAATTGGACTAAATGTAGCAATTCCTTTTTATAAAATGTGTAAATACGGTAAATTATAATTCATTATAATGATATACGATGATTGTTGTCAATCCATTAATCCAATATTAGATAAACTGTCAAATATTTTAGAAATGTTTCTGAAATATTTGAAGTCTGACAGACGCCAAATATTTGAAAAAATATTTGATCGGGTGAACCGGGCTTAAAAATCATGTGATATAATTATCATGTAGTGCAAAAAATCTTAAAACGAAATATCAAATTTGAAAAATTGTGAATCCAAAAATGCCCCCAGTACATAAAATTCTCTGAAAAATAATAATTAAGAAAATAACTTTAAATCAAAAATTAAAAATACAATTCTATGTTTTTAATTTTATACGTAGAACGAGTGTGTAACAATATAAGCATCGCATAGCAAGCTTTGGAAAACAATGCAATTTACATAGAAATCGCAGCCCCGCAGATAAGTAATTGACGCTCAAAAGCGAACCCCGAAAAAGAAAGGGGGCGTTAGGATAAATCGATAAAAAATACACTGGCCGAGATATTTTTTATTTTAATGCATGATCGTGTCTTTGGCATTTAACATTTAAATGAGGGCTAATATAATACAATATGCGTATAATGCGTACCTACCCGTTCGTTTCCGGTACACTATTCAAACGGCCGTATATTCATAATATCGAAACAAAAAGAACGCTTATTAAAACCCTTTAATGGACGGGAATGAAAAATATTGACATTTGTATTGGACTGTTTTTTTTTTTGTCACTATAAAAATTAAAAACAAAAAAAATTAAAGTAATGGAGTAAGAAAAAAAAACCGAACCGTTAAGACCGAGACAATTAAATAACTATCTATTACACTAAAAGCGTCAATATGTACTTGATTGTAAAAAAAAAAAAATCAAAATTAAAAATGTTCGCATGAGCGTTTACAAAATAAAACAATGCGGAAAATTGAATTTAAAAACGGCATTATATTCGAAAGAATAACACTTTGAAAGAGCCGATCGATAAAAAAAAGTCTCAAATAAAAAACAAAATATATAATGTACAATATTATAATCAATTGGATATTGCCTTGATTGAGTATTATAGTGCAACATAATAATAATAATAATAATAATATGTTAAAATCAAAGAAATTATAAAACCTTTTTATTTTGAAAAAGCGTTTTAAACAATATTAGTAGATCAATCGAAACGAAAAATGTTTCGTCGTATTATGACATTAATAATATTTCCGATAAAACGTTTTCCCTAAGAAAAGTAGATATAGCTATAGAATACCAATTTTTAATAAATATTTAATAAAATTGCCTTTATTTCCTTAAATTTTAAAATGAATATTAACTGAAGTGTACCTAAGTATATAGAATATGAAATATAAAATAAATAAAATGGTACGTCTTGTTCAATTCAAACACACCTATACATAGAGCACATCACGTCATGTATAGTTTTGGATTCGTTACTTATTCGTTAGATTTGTTTGAAGTTTTTAAAGCAGTGTTATTGCATTCTCATTTGAAGCAATCGTGACCAACAATATAAAATTAGATTATCCATATTCAGAATTATTTTCAAAACTATACACCGTGTCACATCAAAGGCATTTGATTTAAAACACCTCTGGCATATTAATATTAGGTAAACATATAAAGTTTGCACGTTGTTTTTGGCAATAATAAGTTCGGTATATTATATTTTCGAATATGTTTGTAGTTTTTTACATCTCGTACAAACTAATCAAAAAAAAAAAAAGGACTAGCATATTTCGCACGGTACCCATCTCCACTAGTGTAGGTGAGACGTCGGGAAGGTAGGCTAAAGAGAGGAATTTAAGTTATTTTTGTATTCAATGATTAATCATTGCTAATGAAAAACGATTATGAGCAAAGTTCGGTTATACATATTTTAAAAGGCCGTAATATTTATAATTTTCTTCAAAATTTGATATTACAATTCTCTAAAAAAAAATACTATATAAACTCAACTTTTTATTGTTAACCATCAAATACAACTTATAATGAACCTCTTGTTAAATTTTTAAGCATTTCAGTTCGGTTTAACATCAGTGTAAAACCAATCCGCTTCGCTCAGAATCTAAAAGAAAAAACTGATACTACTTATGAGTCACATTGATGTCACTGTTATTGAGGGGAAGTTCAAAAGGCAGGATAAATAATTAATCTATTAAATAATTAATTAATTTTTTTTCGCATACATAATTACTGACATATGCGATTCTGAGAAAAGACATGTTTTAGAATGTAGTAACGTGTACAATTTTCATTGAAATTTGAACTATTATTAAGCTATTATGAAAACTGATACAAGTAAAATAGTGTTCATTGACTAAAAAAAAAGGGTCGAATTCAGGTGATTAGTTTTTTTTAAAATCTAATTTTTACGAATCATTTTAATACAAACGTATTTTATTACCGAAATTTTAGTTTTAATAATTTTTTTTTTTTATGATTCTTCGGTTACAAATAGTTTAGACCTGGAAATATCGCGGTAGAATTAATAAATATCCCTTTGGAGCCACCGAGTGGACAAACCGGTAAATGCAGAAACACGCGAGTTTTCCGCCCTAACGTCCATAATATTATCTTCTGTACAGACTAGTAAACACGGTAATTAGACGAACGACGTCTGCAATCAATTACAGTCAGAATGGATGGACACGCCGACACCGGTCTCCTAGGGACGAGCATAACGCGCTTAATGAAAATAACAGAGAGAAGACGGAATAGCGCGTAAGCTCTAACGACGACGATCGCGACGGTTGCTGAAACGACGATGACTCATAATAAAATAAAAACCGATATATTTATGTAATAGCGAGAATAAAAATCACAGAAATGAACTGAAACACCTCGCAAATAAACCTAATATAATTCACAAACGGTTATTTTATCTCGGTGATCCCGGCAAAATATAATAATACAAATATTATGATTACTTCTGGTGGAAAATATATTTATTTTTTTTCCCCCGACGACTTTTTCGCTCAGAACTAAATTGCGATGACTAACGGTTCCAATAATAATATTATAGGATTATTGTGTATACTGTCCGTCATACAGCAAATATCACTTTTCCGGGGCGATAAGAAACATAATCTCAAAAAAAAAAAAAATGCAGACTATTAAAATTTGAATTTATTATCAGTACGAATTTAATTCCAACGAATTGATGACCCGAGATGATAATTATCGACTCTCATACTTCAAAATGTGACATAAAAGACGAAAATTACTTAAGTGTTGTATCTACTATAGTGATATCGATAATAATACATCATCTTTACATATGTTTATTTTATTTTCGCTAAAAATGTTTTTCTCGTGGCGATTGGATTTAAATAAATATTATTAAATTAATAAATAAACAAAGTTTGAGTTGTATATGTTTTAGGAATTTATATTTTATTTTTGGTTTAAGTAATTTAGAAAAACCAATGATACCTCTGCGAAAACAACGACACTTATTTGTAACATGAGTAGAATAGTACACAACTTACATATTTAACATTATTGTAATGAGGTGGAGTGCATAGCGGCTATCGACGTATGTCGCAGGTATGTTATAGCAAAAGAAAGATTGTTAGTAAAATCGGATGACGACAAAAAAGGACGGCGACGTGGGAACACACGGGTTTTTAAATCTCGAAAGAGTTTTGGTTTTAGGTTAACACTTAGGACATTTACTTCGTTTTTGCAGTACCTTCAGGTTTACAGTTTGGACGAGATTTTAATGTCTCAAAGTTGGTATACCTGGATTTCGATTTTTCCAACGTTTTATTTTATTTATTTTTTTATCACCCAGAGAGAAGTGAGTGCATCCTTCTGGGTTATTTACTAACGACAAATTGTATAGACGTTGTACGCGTCATACGTAAAATTAAAAATATATTCACATAAAAAATAAAAACAAAGTATATAAGAATGAAATGACGGATCATGTACAGGCGATAAGCTCATTTTGTAAATATTTCCAACCGGATTAACTCTATAGAACAAGAGTTTATAATATGCATATATTTTGTATAATAATAATATTACAGTCGTCTAATATTATGTTGTATTCTTTAGGTACCTTCTGGCAACAAATTATTTACAAGTTTTGCGTACACAAGCTGATTCACTGAGCGTGCTAATCTTTTTTTTTTGGTTATATGTTGTATGAATCCAAATTCTCATTTTTGGAATTTTTAAGTATAGTAAAAGCCGATATTTTCGAATAGTTAGATTTCTCTCAACATTTAAGGAGTATTCTATGGTGATGTCAACTTTGGTTTTTCAAAAGAGAATCTATGTTTAAAATTCCATAAATAGATGGAATATTTGTTTAAATAAATTTTGGTGTCAAAATTCTTGATTTCCATCAACTCGTTGATTGATTGCTACTCTATGACACTAATAACTATACGCGTAACCATCGGTATAGTAGTTTTTGGACCATCAAGTTACCATGAGAGACCATTTTGGGTTAGCCACATAACCGCCATGGATATCACGGTGTACAGGAAACTACATTCGGAAGCGAGAAAGTCATGAACCTTAAGGCCTTACAGGTACTACATGAACCGGCGGTTACGTCTTTGGCATGAGCCAGTGCAAAAAAAAAAATAAAAATAAACGGATACATGGACATATTTTATATGACGTTGATTTACCAGATACCAAATAGGGACAGACTATAGTTGAGAAGTTCCATTATTCGAACAATAGAATTAATCAGAATTAATTTGATTTAAAAAGTAACAATAAAAAAGTAATAACTAGATCCTGAACACAAAACTAACTGTAAATAATAGTATCTTAAATTTTGACATTGCTATACTCTTCTTGTACAAAATACTTGAAAGAATATTGCTCATGGGTAGGTAAGTGTTGTAAGCGGGAAGTTAAGAAGGTAGGCTATTATTTATAGTGAGTAATTTTATTTATTCCTATGTAACATGATAAACCATTGGTTAACAAAAAATGATTCTGAACAATGTTCGGTTATTTAAATTTTGATAAACTTAAATCAAAATTTTTTTTAATTTACAACTGCGCATAAATTATAATTATTGTTAGCATTTTATATAAAATTGTTGATCGTTTTATCTATATAAATCGAAGTATTCGAAGAGATTTTTAGAATTTTCATCAAAATTTTAAATTTATTAGCTTTTAAAAAAAATCCTAGAGATTTTCTATAGTTTTATAGTGCCATAAGAACAACTTATGAAGGATTTTCTTATTACGTATTAAGTTTGTGATTAGAGCAAGATTTCTGGTAGAAGAGTGAATGGGCATAAAAAATAAAAAATACACATATTAAAACCAATATACCTCACTACGTTCAGAATCTATAAGACACCCAAGAGTATAAATGCCACATAAGTTAAAAAATAATCTAAAAAAAATATGAAATAGATAAAATTGTAGATTAATTAAATTTTGTTTTGTCAATATAGAATTATATATTATATTTGTCTATAAATCAAGTAATATATATGTACCAACTACCACCACGTTCTGCAATACTCGTATATAATACCATGTACACCACCTTTAAATATATCTATAACAGTTCCCCCTCTTGACGTGACGTTGCTTCGAACATATTATGTCGGATGGAAAAACACCGAAAACTTAATAACCTAATATAGCGTGTCGCACGGACTATAATTTGTAAAGGCAGCTGTCATATCCACAGCGAGTAAGAAAGGTAGCAATAAAGAAGAGAAAATACCCGAGAATCAATTAGACGTAATATGATCGGACTCAATTCTCGGTCATGTCTATACAATTGATTGTCTGCTACTGAGCTACAGTAAAACAACTCCTCAAATCCGTAACATATTGGAAAACCGACGCCTTCTACTTCTATATCGTTGCCTAAGCCATTGTTATTGAGACCCCTTGTGTGAGGTGGATGATTTCTAGTAAGAAAATCCTACTATTGTCACTAATTCTGTATAGTATATATCTGTTTTAATAGCAACGAGTACTATATATACAAAATTTGTTCTCTTATTACAATTTCTAATCACTATATAAAAACAACAAAAAAAAAAAAATTAAGATAGTGGAACACTTATATCGGACAGAAAAGTTAGTGATTTTGCTATTTATGAAAACTATAATATAATACAATAACACCATGGCATTTAATGATCTAAATATAATAATAATAATAAACAGTTTTTCAATTACAATATACTTAAACCATAATATTGATTATTCTAGGAAAAACATTTTTCTAGTCAAAGAAACAAACATGAATTTCAGCGTTTTTACTACTTGTTGAGACTGCATATAAATTTGATGCCATTTTCGGGTTTTAAATAAATGTGAATATTAAAGGAAGTTATCAGCTATTCAAATATATATTTATTAAAGGGTATCCACGAAAGAATTATTTTTTTTTTAATTAGAATAAAAAAAAATATGATTTTATATTTAGGAAATTCTGAAGTTTAAGTATGAAACACAATACTCTCCCTCCTCTACTAGCCCTACAGGCATTTTAACTGTCCATACAATTCACGATGATGCGCTCACACATTTCGCCGTCCAGTTTTCCTATCACACTTCGGATTCCTTGTTTGAGTTGGGTGAAATCATGAAAATTATTCTCGTACACTTTCGACTTAATAAAATGTCAAAAAAAAAAAAATTCGCAGGGGTTAGGTCCCGAGATCGTGGTGATCAACTTTGGTCCCCACGCAATGAAATTAGTCTGTCCGGAAACCAAAACGTGCGTTTCCATAGACAATATTTCCATGATTACGAACGCCTTTAGAAAACTCGAAAACAAAAGTGGATTAGGTATTGAAATAATTAAGGCTTAAGAACTGCTTTCGAAAAATCGGAAATTGGATTTACAATGATTTTTTTTTTAACTACTGATGACCAATAAGAACCAATTAGAACAAAAATTAACGTGTTACCCTGTTGTACTCGAATAGTTCACTTTACTAATAATTGTATAGATATGTTATATTTATCTATTGCGTTGTCGTGCAAATTTGTTTTTAACGCCTTGCATGTTTTGGCGAGTTAATTTTAGTAGGTAATCTTTTTGCTTACTGATTGAATAATGCGTTTTAATAATGAGATTCTTTAGTGCAACTGTTTAACTGTTTGCTAGTTGCTTACATGAATGAACTTTTCAACAAACTGTTTGTCGGATTCGTCATTTACTGGTGTTGTTTACTCATTACAATGTAGAAAACATGATGCTATTAGTATAGTAAACATTTTTTATTTATCGTTTTTATAATATTTTCGTACTATAATAACAATTTGTATTTGAAAATACAAAATTGCCTACAGGCAACTTAGTATTCGTAACGGTAATATCTCGGTTTAAAAATATGTATAGGTAGTTGTTAAATTATTTTGTTTAACTGAAACAATCAAGTACACGAGTAAAGTCGAGTACTCAAAAAAAAAAAAAAAAACAATAACGAAATGTCGTAAACTAGTAGTGATAGGGCATCGCGGTTATCAATGTATTATGATATGATTACCATATGAGACAATTCTAGAAATAGTTTGGAGTTATTATTATTTTATTGAGAAACTGAAATGAAGAAAAAATAAGAAATATTGTTATAAATAAATAGTTATCTGGGACCAACATGACTGGACAGGAAATTACAAGGTGGACGGATGAGGGGGTGATGGTTCTGCTAACGGTGACTACTGTGATAATGTGATATTTTTAGAAGAACATCAAACTGTCTGGTAGTATTATTTAATATAATATGACACTGAAAAAAAAATATTTTATAAATTCAAAATAGCTAAAAAATTTAATTAAATTATATCATAGTGCTCAAAAACTTAACACGGGGTATATTTTAAGTGGCATAATCTGTATACAGTAATATTTTTAATTATAAGTATTTAAAGTTAAAATTTTACTAAAAATCGTATAGAAATAATGACAGTATTTCAAAACATAAATTAAATTACTTTATATAACATTTTCCCGACTTCTCATTTATATAACGACAGAACTCCTTGTCAACAGTATCAGTTCATTCAATTTTATTTGTATTTTATTTTATACACATAACTACACTTTTATATAATATATATTATCTTTCATTTAGTTAAAAATAATACTCAACATTTGTACACTTACTGCTTGTGTCCTACAATAAATAAATTACGAATAATTGAGTATATAAATAGGACTCTTTTTTAGAAATTATCGTTTAATTTAACTCAATGCATCAGTTGAAAGCATAAAAGACAACTAGGACATAACAGTACAATTCATCTATCAGTGATACCATAAAACTAGTTTTTCAAGAACAGCATACAACAAAAATTTACACGGCACGTTCGATCAATCAGAGAAAGTCTGAAGTTACTATAAAAAATTACTATAAAACCCACGATATTCATGGGTTTAGATCGAATGGAAAGCATTACGTCATGCCCTGAAAAAATTTAAGTACCTATAGGAATTAATTATATTTATAGTAAAAATGAAATGATCGAAAAACCTATTTGAGTATTACCTATGGTATTACATGGTATACCTATCTGACCCTGATTATATACAAAGAAACGAACTTTGTGAAATATGTTCAACGGGACCGCTTTCAACAAAATCAAAGTTTTTGAAAGCATCGTCTTGTCTTCTGAAATATTATATTCTTTTAATTTTATAATAGGTTTTTTTACTCTAAAACCAAAATTAAGCGAGTTCTACGCAGTTTTCGTTATTTAGATTTTGCTACATTGCTCTTTGATTGAACTGAGACAGCACATGTGGGTGAAGCGATCTCTTAAATGATTATTATTCGTGAAATTTTGAAATATGTTTATTAGTACCACGAATTTATCAAGTTTCAAACGCCCGCCCATGCGACTACCGCGGATCCGAGTAGAGGATACCACACATTTCAGTGGTATTATTGGTGGTGGCGTTATTTACCATTACAATGGTCTCAGTTATACCACCACCGGAATTGCTCCAGTGTATGAAACAATGCTTTACCAAAACAACCAGTTGAGACCAGAAGTTTGTTACTACCATTATGAAAAAAATTCTTTCGTCGTTTTCGTCGTGTATGCGTCAAGCGAAGGTATTGGCGAGTGCGGTACAATAATTATTGCACAAAATAAAAATATGTTATGCAAATATCAATATAATAAGTTCATATTGCAATACGTCATAATAGATTGGCATATTGTTTTTCAACTACATTCATAAAATATATATGTATTCGATGTAAACAAAATATTTCATAGAATAACTATTATGCGTTAAACTGTTTACTTGAAAAAGTACTGACCGATAGAAAAAAAAATCATAGTTATTTTAAAACTGAAAATGTTTTACTCTGTTTAAAACACGAAAGCAATGAAAATAATACAGAAATTATTTTATTTTTATTATTATTATGTTTAGTTTTCTCTATTAAATTGGAAAATAAATACGTACTTCATCTATATTATAACAATTTAAAACGATACATAAAAATACTTTTAAGAAAATAGAAAACTTTATATTTAAATTTATTAGGCGCTAAATAATATGTATTATTACTGTGATAGATCAATTGATTTATATCCATGTTAACTAATTTGACGTTAACTTAGTAATTTATTTGCTTTTAAACTTATAAAATAAATAATTTATATTATAAAAAAAACTTTTATACAAATTATTTGGGACTATTATGATCGTAAGTTATTTTCAATTACAATTACATTATTCATATTCATCCATATCCATTAGTTCATATTTTTTATCAGAGTTTATATTTATTTTGTTTAGTGTCTGAACAATGAAAAACAAGGAAATAAAAATGTAACTTGTTTTCAAGTTGATCTTATTATTTTTTAAAGCCATGTATTTATTGTTAAAATTAATAATTATATTTAAGTAAATAGCAAAACTGCAGCTATCTAATTTATTAGATTAATTTGGCTTAACAAAAAGTAATACTTTTAAAATAAAATGAATGTAAATAAGGGTCTTTGCCATCCAAAAAATCGAATTTTACAATCGTTTGCATCTAATAGTTTCCTAATCTAGGTATCGAGGTATCTAGGCATCCTCCATTATTTATCGGACAAAAAATGATATTCAATCGTTTAAATACAAGTAGATTTTTGAAAAATTTAGCAAACTCAAGAAAAAACTTGGAAATAACGGACACATCCGTAGTAGTTCAATTGTTTTCAATTTTGTTTTTCGATTCGGAGTGTAACGAGGAATATATTTGTTTTACAATGATGTTTGTTTTTTATCTGAAAACAATTTTCGTACAAGAAATCTCACTCAGATTTTTTTAAAAACAAAATATTTTATCCGGGTGGTATTTTGGGAGGTAAATTTTTGATTTTTCAAACGGTTTTAATAATAATTGGGAAAAACGTATCAAAAACGGGAAAATGCATGTACAGTGTACATGTATAAAAAAAACTTCGTTCCAAATCGTTTTCTGTTCGCAATGATTTAAATATCATTGCGTACAGATTTAAATCAAATTTCATTCTATATTTTACATTTCCAGTTTCTCACCTATAACAGTATCCCATTCATCGTGCGATGTATACCCATCTTTTTTGGTTTATGGTTCAATTGTTCATAATATTTTATGGAACTCATTAAGTATTATTTAATTAATTTGTAAAACCTAATTTTTTATTTATAATTATTTATTATGTTATTTAATTTAATCATGTATACTATACTCGCTACACTACCACAAGCTTTGCTTAAGGGTGTAGCCAATTTGTATTATTTATTTTATAATGCATTGGTTTAGTAAAAAATCTATGCAAAAAAAAAATATTTATATATGTAAATAAATCCACGAGAATTTAAATTTAAACCCTTAAATGGAATAAGTATTTTAATAAATTCTGGATTACAAAAAAATAAATTAACAGAAAATATTATGGTTGTATGTTATGGTAAGTAAATAAAAATGCAGATTTATCGACAGTTAAATTTATCGTAACCTACACAATGCACGCGCCTTATATTGAATTAGAAACCACTGTGATAATAATTTCTGAGATATTATGTGGAACCATTTATTCTGAAATCTATGTACATTTTAAGCATAGAATAATATCTCTGGAAAATAAATTTTAACGCAGTGTACATAAATGTGGATTTATAGATTTAGTTTTAGAATGCAAATAGTAGGTTTATAGAGTCCGATAAAAATAATATTGCCGATAAATATTATAGTGATGCAGTATAAATTTTTTAAAATACAAATAAAACCATTCTATTTCTAAATAACAAATATTTCAATAAATACAGAATATTTATATTGCAGAATGCAGATGTCAAATGCATATTTTAATAATAATTTTGACGTCTGCGGAGTAAAAAAAGCAGACTGACATTTATACTAGACTTGCATATTCTTTATATTTTACTGTAACAAATTTTTTATACCTTATTTATATCAACATACCGTCACCACATCACGAGTCTTACTGGTTATTAATTTCCGAGAAATGTGGGTTTTTTACATAATAATGGCCACCTTAATAATACGAATTTTTCACTAAACTACTGTCGGATACCAATTTAAGGAATTTTTAACGAGCGAATATAACGTCTCAGACCGAAAATCTATTAGACAAACCTGTAGAAATTGCGTTTGACGGACTTCATAGTATTATAATTCTTTAGGTTCTTTAAAAAAATCCTAGTACTTTATTAGGATTTTTTTTCACGATTTCCAGTAAAATAATTAA